TTGGGGACGTCCCCGCCGCCCCACGCCGCCCCGTCCAAACGCGGGGCTCCCCGCTCGGGGGGCCGTGCGCCGCCCCGTCCCGCTCGGCTGTCGTGGAGGGGCTGAGGGCTGCCGGGGAAGGGGCTGACGGGCGCTCCCCCCTCTGCTCCCCCCCTCTGCTCCCCCCTCTGCTCCCCTCTGCTCCCCCCTCTGCTCCCCTCCCCGCGCCGCAGAACCGCGACAACTACATCCGCTCCTGCAAGCTGCTCCCCGACGGCCGCAGCCTGATCGTGGGGGGGGAGGCCAGCACCCTGTCCATCTGGGACCTGGCGGCCCCCACGCCCCGCATCAAGGCCGAGCTCACCTCCTCCGCCCCTGCCTGCTACGCCCTGGCCATCAGCCCCGACGCCAAAGTCTGCTTCTCCTGCTGCAGCGACGGCAACATCGTGGTGTGGGACCTGCAGAACCAGAGCCTGGTCCGGTGGGTGCTGCATGGCGCAGCTCCAGATGGGGAACCCCACGTCCTCCTCTGTGCTGTACAGCGCTGACAGCCCTGCGCATCCCATGTCTGTCCCTCTCCTCTCCCAGGCAGTTCCAAGGCCACACGGACGGAGCCAGCTGCATCGACATCTCCAACGATGGCACCAAGCTGTGGACGGGGGGGGTTGGACAACACGGTGCGCTGCTGGGACCTGCGGGAGGGGCGGCAGCTGCAGCAGCACGACTTCAGCTCGCAGGTAGGCGCCGGGCGCCCCCGATGGGTGCGAGCCCCCCCCGCTATCCGAGCCCTGCCCTCCCCCTGCCTGCCCCCAGATCTTCTCCCTGGGGCACTGCCCGACGGGCGAGTGGCTGGCGGTGGGCATGGAGAGCAGCAACGTGGAGATCCTGCACGTCACCAAGCCCGACAAATACCAGCTGCACCTCCACGAGAGCTGCGTCCTCTCCCTCAAGTTCGCCGCCTGCGGTACGGGCGCCGCCTGCTTCCTCTTTGGGGGTCCCTGCAGCCCCCTCCCCTCCGTGCCCGAGGGTCCCACAGCGCTGCTTTGTCTCCTGCCCAGGGAAGTGGTTTGTGAGCACGGGGAAGGACAACCTGCTCAACGCCTGGCGCACGCCCTACGGAGCCAGCATCTTCCAGGTGAGCCCAGCTGCCCCCAGCGCCGCTCGGCGCCATCGGCGTTCCTTCAGCACCCAGCCCTGCACCCTGGTGCCGGCACCCAGCCCTGCCCTCCCCTCTCTGCAGTCCAAGGAAACTTCCTCCGTCCTCAGCTGCGACGTCTCCACCGACGATCAGTTCATCGTCACCGGCTCCGGAGACAAGAAGGCGACGGTCTACGAAGTCATTTACTGAGAGACACGGAGGTGACGGCCTGGGTCTGTTCCCTGAGAGCAGACGGACTCACAGCCATGGGGACGGACAGACGGACTCTGACGCAGAGGGGTGGCAGCCCAGGCCTGGAGCCATTGGCGATGGGGACCCTGCAGTGCTGGGAGGCAGCTGCTGCTCGCAGGGCCCTTCCCAGAGGTTTCCTCCTCCTTTGGTTCGTTATTGGTTGGTTTGTTTCTAAACGGGGGTTGGGGGAGCGAAGGGGGCTTTCTTTTGTAATGTCATTTTTTTGTGTTTTTTTTTGTTAAATGCTGGGCAGGATGAGAGCTCTCCTCATCTCCCCCTGCACCCAACCAGGGCATAATTTAATAATAAAAAGCAAACAGCAGCGCGGTGCATCGCAGGGCAGGGGCTGATGGGGCTGGGGGCTGCTCTGCACGGAGCCGGGGGGGGACAGAGGGCATTTCAGCCCCTCATGGCATTTCAGCACCCCCAGGGGCCGAGTCCCCGTGTAAATCAAGGTCCTCCCCATCACCCCATGGTGCCCTAGAGGAACTCAACCCCCCCCCACCACCCCAGCAACCACTCTTTCATTTTTGTTTTTTTTTTTATTAGTAAGGATTTGAAAACGCCATTAAATACATCTCTTTACTGATAATTCACAGCTGGGGCTGCAGCAGAAAATTGGTGCCATTGAATCAGTAGCAGTAAATGGGGGGAGGGCAGGGAAAACACGAGGCTCTGAGCTTCCTGCCCCTCGTGGCTGTGTCCCCTTTCCTTACCAGACTGACAGACTGACATCTGACCACCCCCTGCCCTCCATCCCCCTGCTTGGAGGGGATCCTGCATCCCTCACCCCAACCAGCCCCCCTCCATCAAGCATCAGGAAAGGGGGGGGGGGGGCACAAGGTGTCACCTGCTGCTCCCCAGCTTGCAGGAAGAGAACCAGGAGTGAGCAACTCAGAGTGCAGTGGGGCTGCAGCGGCACTGGGGGCCTGGGGGCTCAGCCTCCGAGTATCTGAGCATCAGAGACAGCGGGGAGCTCAGTACACCACCTCATACACCGTGGCCTTCTTGTCACCAGAGCCAGTCACAATGAATTTGTCATTGATGGAGATGTCACAGCTCAGCACCGAAGACGATTCTTTGGACTGGAAGGAGAGGGGATGGGGGTGAGGGTGGTGGGGGGGGAAGCAGCCCCCGCTCTGAGCTTCCCCAGCCCCTCACCTGGAAGATGCTGGCTCCGTAGGGCGTGCGCCAGGCGTTGAGCAGGTTGTCCTTCCCCGTGCTCACAAACCACTTCCCTGGGCAGGAGACAAAGCAGCGCTGTGGGACCCTCGGGCACGGAGGGGAGGGGGCTGCAGGGACCCCCAAAGAGGAAGCAGGCGGCGCCCGTACCGCAGGCGGCGAACTTGAGGGAGAGGACGCAGCTCTCGTGGAGGTGCAGCTGGTATTTGTCGGGCTTGGTGACGTGCAGGATCTCCACGTTGCTGCTCTCCATGCCCACCGCCAGCCACTCGCCCGTCGGGCAGTGCCCCAGGGAGAAGATCTGGGGGCAGGCAGGGGGAGGGCAGGGCTCGGATAGCGGGGGGGGGCTCGCACCCATCAGGGGCGCCCGGCGCCTACCTGCGAGCTGAAGTCGTGCTGCTGCAGCTGCCGGCCCTCCCGCAGGTCCCAGCAGCGCACCGTGTTGTCCAACCCCCCCGTCCACAGCTTGGTGCCGTAGTTGGAGATGTCGATGCAGCTGGCTCCGTCCGTGTGGCCTTGGAACTGCCTGGGAGAGGAGGTTGGGGGAGGACGCAGAGAGAGCGCGCGGCCATCAGGGCTGCCCGTTCCCAAGGAGCGCCTCCAGCACCTCCCCCACCCCACGCCGCTGTTCCCCCCGCTGCTCACCTCACCATGGTCTGGTTCTGCAGGTCCCACACCACGATGTTGCCGTCGCTGCAGCAGGAGAAGCAGACTTTGGCGTCGGGGCTGATGGCCAGGGCGTAGCAGGCAGGGGCGGAGGAGGTGAGCTCGGCCTTGATGCGGGGCGTGGGGGCCGCCAGGTCCCAGATGGACAGGGTGCTGGCCTCCCCCCCCACGATCAGGCTGCGGCCGTCGGGGAGCAGCTTGCAGGAGCGGATGTAGTTGTCGCGGTTCTGCGGCGCGGGGAGGGGAGCAGAGGGGAGCAGAGGGGGGAGCAGAGGGGGGAGCAGAGGGGGGAGCGCCCGTCAGCCCCTTCCCCGGCAGCCCTCAGCCCCTCCACGACAGCAGAGCGGGACGGGGCGGCGCACGGCCCCCGAGCGGGGAGCCCCGCGTTTGGACGGGGCGGCGTGGGGCGGCGGGGACGTCCCCGACCCCATCCCCGCGCCGCCCCTTCGGGACCCCCGCGCTCTCCTCCGCCCGTTCGTCCCCGGCCCCCCGCGGCCCCCCGGCACGCAGCCCCTCCCCGCCCCGCGTACCAAGCAGTCCAGCTGGGCCACGGCCGTCTTGGCGCCCGGCTGCCCCACGTCCCACACCTTGACGCAGCCTTTGCCCCCGGTGTAGACGTGGCGCGTGGAGTTGCTGATGGTGACGGCGCAGACCACCTCGCCGTGGGCCAGGCTGTGCAGCTGCCGCGCGTGCCGGGGGATGCCGGAGCCCAGGAGGGCGTCGGGGGGGAACGGCACCGGCTGCATCTGCCCGTCGGCGCTGACGTGGAAGGAGTAGGCGCTGGGAAAGGGGACGGAGCGGTGACGGAGCCGCGCGGTGCCACGGCGGGGCCACCCGGCGCCGTGCGGAGAGGAGCGGCGATGGGGACGGCGCAGCAGGGAGGGGACGGCCGGCGTCGCCCCACAGAGGGCCGTCCCCACTGCTGCGCTGCCATGGCGGCGTCCCGTCCCCCCCCCTTCTTGTCCCCTCCGTCCCTCCATCTCCACTTACGGTTTCCCCACAGGGGTGCTGGGGAGGGATGACGGCAGCGTGGAGGCTCTCAGGTGAGGGTGTGACTCGAAAGCCACCTGAACAGAGCACTGTGAGCAGCGGGAGCTCCAAAAGCACCGGCACCAACGCACAGCACCCTGCCCGGCCCCTGGGTGGCTTACCGGGGCTGAGCGCCCGTACCCGGCACTGCTGAGCTGTGCTGGGAGCTGGAGGCCCACGTACACACCAGAGGATGGCAGCTCTCCGTTGAGGGCGGCGTGGGGCAGCAGGCCCAGGGAGGTGAAGGGGCTGGAGATGCTGACGGAGGGGCTGCGGAGAGCTGTGGGGAGAAGGGAGAGAAATGTTGGAGGAACGGCGCGACCCCCAGGCCCCACATGTTGGCCCCATACAGCCTGGTCCCTCACCCCACGGTGCCCTGTGGCAGGCAGGGCCCAGCTCTGCTCCAGGGCTGCGGGATGTTGCTGACATCCATCTTCGCTAAACCTCTGTTAGTTTCCAGCCCAGACGAAGGTGTCACATCTCTGGGCTCTGTTTCTCCCCACTGTTCCCTCTCCTCCTCCCACACCACTTCTGGTCCCTTTCACTGAGCCACAGCCAAGCTCTTCCCAAGCTCTCAGCCCACATCTTCCCTTAATTACACCCTCAGCCCTACCAGAGGACCAGCACCCACACCACAGCCCCATCTTGCCCTCCTGGCCATGCCCACATTGGCACAAACCCTTCTGTGGCTCCGAGCCCCACCTGAGCGCTCCAACATTCACCCACACAGCGATTTTGGAGGTTCCCACGTTGCATCACAGCATCCCTGGGCACTCACCAGGGGGGTCCTTGGCTGCAGGCTGCAGGGGGAGGGTGGCCGAGCTGGGCCCCACACCAGGTGTGAGGGCATCACGGGGTGGGGGGGACGAGGAGGACACGGCCGTGGGGGGGTCTGGCTGCAAGAAAGAGGAGGAGCAGAATCAAAACCAGCCCTACGGAAGCCACGAGGTGAGGGGGGTCCACTGGGCACGGCTCTGCTGCTCCCCATGTGCTCCCCATTGCACGGGGGGGGGGGGGCCCAGCCCAGCGCTCCCCCCCTCCCACCCCACGCGTTGCTCATTCCTCTTTTTATTTTCCTCCCAGCTTCTCTTTTTTCTTCCTCTTTTTCTGCCCCGGGGATTTTGTCGACACCAGCGAAAAAAAAAATATAAAAAAAAATAAGGGGGGGATGAGGGGGGAGGAAAGAGGGAAAAAAAAAAATTAATAACAGAGCAAAGCTGCGTGCTGTGCTGGCAGATTGCTCAGGGCGCTTTGTCTGCTCTAATCCGATTGTCCCAGGAGCAGCAGCTCAGTGCTCCCTGCGCCCACAGTCGGCTCCTGACCCCAGGGGCAGCCAGGACGAATGGCTGCGGGTCCCACGGTGGCTGGGAGGGGAGTGGGGGGCTGAGGAGGGGGGTGATGGAGGCAGCCCTCCCCCCCACGCTGATGTTTCAATCTGAGAAGGGGGCCGGTGCTTGGTGAGGAGGATGGGAGGGAAAAGGAAAAAAGGGAGAAGGAGAGGGGAGAGGGGAGAGGGGAGAGGGGAGAGGGGAGAGGGGAGAGGGGAGAGGGGAGAGGGGAGAGGGGAGAGGGGAGAGGGGAGAGGGGAGAGGGGAGAGGGGAGAGGGGAGAGGGGAGAGGGGAGAGGGGAGAGGGGAGAGGGGAGAGGGGAGAGGGGAGAGGGGAGAGGGGAGGGATCAATTGCTCAGAGCAGCTCTGAGGAATCCTTCAGGCAGTCAGACCGAACGAACCTGCAGAGCCCAGCCCTGCCTGGCACAGGATCCCCTTCCTCACCAGCACAGACCTCTGACCGCAGCTCTGGGGAACCCTCCAGGAACACCGCGGTGCAGCCCCCCCTCCTGCCCCACAGCCCTTACCAGCCCCGGCTCCTTCCGTCGGCACGGCGTGGGGCTGCGGCTGGAGGCTGGGCTCTCGGGGACATCCTGGGCTGGGGGGGGGCGGCTGCCAGGGCTGCCGGGCTCCGAGGGGGGGTCCTGAGGAGAAAAGGGGTCTTTGTGGGGCAGGAACTGCAGCCCCTCCGTGCCGGAGGGGGAGGATTTGGAGGCAAGGCCACCCGTCAGCTCTCGCTCCCCTGTAAGCCTTCAATTAGGGCTGTGATTTTTATCACCACAATTACAGCACTGAGCAGTTTTTAATGTGCCGCTCTCCGCAGAACTCCCGGCTGAGGTTCCTTTCTGTGTTTTCTTGGGAAGTGACAGGAGGGGGAGGAAAAGGAAAAAAAAAGAACAAAACGCTGCGTGTTCTGTCCATCCCCAGAGCCTCCATGGGAAAAACAAAAGGGACGTCCCCCAAAAATACCCCCTGAGCTGCACCAAGGGAGCAGCGTGAGGCGTCCGGTTGAGCGAGGGGGAAGGCGAGCAGAGGGGCTGCGCCCTCCTCCCCATACGGGATGCTGTGGGAGAGGAGCCGATGTGGGGCTGGAGGGCAGAGGGATGAGCCGGCACAGCCCTTCAGCCATGCTCAGAACCAACCCCAGCTGTGCCAGCATCCCGCTGCACTGGGCCCCAGCACAGCAGCCCAACGAACCCCAAACCCTGCAGCCGGAGCCCTGCACCAGCTGGGAGCAGAGCACGGCGCCCCGCAGGCTCACCTCATCCACCACCAGGTTGTCGTCACTCTTGTCCCCGTCGCTGTCCTGCGCGATGGGAGGAAATGCTTTGGTCAGGGCCCAAGGAAGAGGCCGCACCAGGCTCTGCTCTCTGCCCTGCACGTCCCTTCTGGCAGACCCCACGGGCAGCTCTGCCCCCCCCCCCCCCTCCCATCTCCGTGGGGCTTTTCAGCTCGTCTCCTTGCAGGATTCTGCCCCCCACCCAGCAGCCCCACGCTCACGTAACGCCCAGGCGGCTCCTTCTCCTCCTGGCTCCGCTTCAGCCCCATCTCCTCGTCAGGAGGGCTCTCTGGAGACGCCGACACGCTCTGAGCAGATGACAAGAGGTGAGGGCAGGCAGCCGGCCCTGTGCCCCCCACCCCCCCCCATCTCCTCCCACATTCCCACCTTTCAGCCCAAACCCACCCGCTCTGTTCCAACAGGGCCGGCCCTGGGGGCAGCTGCCCCACTGCAAAGCAGACGATCCATCCCACAGCACCCCAACCCAGCACAGCCCCCTGCTGTCCTCGCACCCCCAAGGCACCACTTACCCGGCTGGGGCTGCGCTCTGGAGCACAGGCAGGGCAGGCAGGTCAGCAGGGCAGGACAGGGGAGAGAAAGGGGCTGTCAGTGCAATGCCCATGGGGGGGAGAGGGGGCACAGTGGGACAGAAGGGAGGCTGTGCCAGTTTCCCACCTCGCTTCTGCCCCAAATTCCCTCCTGCACACCTACGCCTCCCACCACAGCCTCGTGGCCATCAAGATTTTCCCTTCAAGTCTCAACTTTAGGCAACAGATCCTCATCAGGGGTGAACCCTTGCAGTAAGCAGGGTGGGGAGGGGGGGGGGGGGGCCTCAGGTCCACCCTCGGAGGGGGGCACAGGGGTGCAGAGGACCAAGGTGTGCACACAGCCAGGCACACAGCCCATGCTCTTGGGAGCCATCGCTGCAAGACAGCCACTCCCTCAGCCAAAAACAGAGCCAGCCTGGCAGGGCTGCAGATGTTTAAGGAGCTGGCAGCGTGCAGAGCAGGCAGCAGGGCTGCCCCCAGCGTGCCTGGGACGTGGCTCAGCAGCAGAAGGGTTAATGCAGCTGTTCTCCATCCCTCACCTCTGCTCTCCTGCGCTGCTTTCTCCTCCTTGGCTGCCAGCTGTGACTGTGCCATCAGTGCCCCCGACAGGGCCAGCAGCCCCGCGGCCCCCCCGGGCAGGCTGTGCACACCAGAGGGGTGGGGGGTCAGTGGCAGCTGGGGGGGCTGATGGGAGAGGTGCTGCAGCTGCTGCTGCTGGAGCGGGAGAGAAAGCAAACGGTCGTCAATGAGAGGAGGAGGCAGCAGGGCAAGACGCAGCGGGATGAGATGCGAGGTGGAAGGAGCAGTCGGACAGGGGGGGCTCCATGAACACCAGCCAGCAGCAAACCCCCCTGCTGGAGCTCAGGGCTGGGCTCACTAAGCAATGAAGACCCCCCTCTGCCCTCCCCACTGCACACGGTGCGACTCACCCCCACGATGCTGTTGAGCTCTCCCATGGTGACCTGCTTGGCCCGCTCCACTGCCTGCAGGACCTGCTGCTGGTGCTGAGAGCAGGGCGATCAGCAGCGCTCCAAACCTCTCCCACCCCTCCAGCCTTGTTCTCTCCCCCCGACTCCCCCCTCTGCTCAGCATGGCACCACTTTGCCCTTTCCCAGCACATCCCCAGCTCACCTCCTGCGTCAGGAAAGGCACAATCTGGGCACAGATGGCACTCAGCCTCTTGACAATCTCTGCCTGGAAGAGGAGGTGGGGATCAGCCCTGCGTCTCAGCCCCCCATCCCTGTCCACCATCCTCTACCCCCCAACACAGCACCCGGTGTTTCCTCCCCACGGAAAGGCAGAAACCCCCAGAAACCCAGAAACCTCCCACCTCCACCCCAACCCCCCATCAGCTCCAGATACCCCATGATCACACACACAGCCAGGGGCCGACCCTCAGCACCCGTCCCTCAGTCACCCCCTGGGGACAATCCCACGGGGGTTAGGGGAGCACATGGGGCCGTGCCGGAGGGCTCTGCCAGGTTCCCCTGCTAACAAAAGGAGCAAAGGCAGAGGGGCTGAGCCAGCTGGAGGAGGATGGCAGTTGACTTGCCACTTTGTCAGGCATAGGTCCAAACTAATTTCCCTGGCACAAAGCCCGCGATGACTGGATTGATAAATCTGAAGAGGGAAAGCAAATTAACGCTGGAACAAAAGGGGAAGTGGGGAAGGGTGAAAACACTCCTCTGTGTTCGGGAAAAGGGAAGAAAGAGGAGAGGAAAAAAATTAAGGAGAAAGCAGATATAAAAGGAAGATAATCCAGGCTTCAGCTCTCACTGTTTCTTGGGGCCACAGGGGGAACTTGGGGGCGGTGGGGTGTCCCTGCTCAGCCCCACGGCTACCAGACCCCAATGCAGGAGCCCTGAGGGATGTGGGGAGGAGGGAGGTGATGTCCCACCCCGCTCACCTGTTTGTGCATCTCGATGTTCAGCCCGTAGGACATCTCATAATACTGCAAAGAAATCACAGCGCGGCCACGTCGGGAGCTGCTGCCCCATTCCCTGCCCACTGCTGTGGGTCCCAGAGCAGCGTGGGTTCCAACTCAATGGGTCAATTCTGTGGGGCAGCTCCCACCCAGAGGGGGCTGTGGCACCCAGGGGAAGGGGCTGCAAGCTTTTTGGATGGGATGCAGCGAGTCTCACAGAGGTGCAGAATGAGAAGGAATGATGCTCCCATCCCATCCCCCTCCTTGACACAGAGGAGGCCCGTCAGCCCCACAGCTCCTGGGGGGCTCCCAGCACCCACCCAGGGCGCAGGAGGGGGGGCTCCCAAGAGGCCAAATAGAAGGGAATAAATAAAATTAAGAGACAAACTCACGGCATCAACTCCCACCTGACTCCCAGCCTTCAGCGCAGGGTCCAGCGGTGAGGATGGGGCTGAGATTGGGGTCGTGAAGGGGAACCGGGGAGGGGGGGTCGGCACGGCGGGGGGGGGGGGGGGGGCTCACCATGACATAATGCCGCTGCATCTCGGTCTTCTCGCTCAGCAGCTTCTCGCACTCCAGCTTCAGGCTGCGGAGCGGAGCGGCGGTCCTCAGTGGGGGGCGGGGGGGACCCGAAACCCACAGCGGCGTCACCGCCGTTCCCTTCGCCCCACACCCGGCTCAGCCCACGGAGGGGCAGCCAAGGGAACCCCGAGCCGCAGCCCCGCGCTCCGGAGCCCCGTCCACCTGTCGGCCCCTGCTTCCCCCCCACCTGTGGTACTGCGCCTGCAGGAACTGGAACTCCTCCTTGATCCGTTCGCAGATCTCCAAAACCGAGAACTTGAAGGGCTGCCCGGGCTGCGGGGACAGAGCACGGCGCCGTCAGCCGCACGGAGCTCCCGGGACGGCCCCGCTAAAGCCCAGCACTCACCGGGTGCCGCCCCTGCGGGAACATCCCCGCACCGCCCGCTCCCCGTAGGGGCACCGCGGCTCCGCTCCGTTCCGGTGGGGCGGATCACGTGACCGGACCGGGGCAGCCCGCGGAATCCCCACGGGGACAGCCCGGCGGGGGCGCGCCACGGGGCGGCGGAGAACGATTTAAGGTGGCGCGACCCCGCCGGCCCCGGAACGCGCCGGTACCGGAGGCTGCGGGAGTCCCGAGTGCCGCTCCACCTTAAGCAAACTCACGGCCCGCCGCGGCGGGGGCCGCGCAAGCTATTGGCTGCCGCCGCCAGAGCGCCAGCCAATCGTCGCGCTCAGCTCCCACATGGGTTCGTGACGTCGCGACCAATCGCGGCGGGCGGGGCGCCGCGGGGGCCGATGGGAGATGTAGGCCGCCCGTCCTACTCGTGCCGCCCGCTGACCCCGCCCGGGGCGCCCACCGCCCGCCCCCCCCGCAGCGCCACCGCGGCCGGGGCTCCGCTCAGCCCGGGGACAACGCGGCTCCGCAACGGCCGCACCGGGAGCGGTCAGCGCGAGGGGAGCGGGAGGGCGGACCATCGGCCCAGCAGGCCTTGCGGCGGCCGCCGGCTGCCACTCAAAGTAACGTGGGGCGGTGGAGGAGTGTCGGTACCCCCCCCCCCCCCGGCCCCGCTGCCCGCAGAGACCCGGGAGCTGCGGGTGGGGGAGGGGAGGGCGGGTATCGGCATCTACATCGTAACGGGGGGTTAAAAGACATGTGGCAGGCGGGGGATGTGGGGCAGCGGCCGTAGGGGAGGGGATGGGGGCAGGGGGCTGGAAACACAGGGCAGCAGCCATAGGGAAGGGAATATGGGGCAGGGAATGCAGAGGTGGAGATATAGGGATGGGGATATGGGGCTGGAGATACAGGGATTGGGATATAGGGCAGGAGACGTAGGGAAGAGGGTATGAGGCAATGAAGTGGGACTGGAGCCATAAAAGAGGGGATATGGGGCTGGAGATATAGGGATGGGGATATGGGGCAAGGAAGTGGGGTTGGAGCCCTAGAAGAGGAGATATGAGGCTTGGAGACTTGGGGCTAGAGAAATGGAGAAGGGGATCTAGGGCAGGGGATGTGGGGCTGGAGACATAGAGAGGATGTGGGGCAGAGCTCTGGTGACACAAGGCAGCAGCCATAGGGAAGGGAATGTGAGACTGGGGACAGGGAAGGGGATATGGGGCTGGAGATATGGGGTGGGGATATAGGGCTGGAGACAGAAGGAAGGGGATATTGGGCAAGGAAGTGGGGCTGGAAGAGGGGATATGGAGCTGGGGATTTAGGGCTGGAGGCTGGGAAGGGAATGTGGGGCAGGGGACCTGGGGCTGGAGACATAGGGAAAGGGGCATGGGGTACGTGGGGCTGGGAGCTGGAGACAGAAGACACAGGGAAGGGTACGTGGGGAAGTGGACACTGGCGGGGGACGTGGGGCAGGGGACACGGGACTGGAGCAGATATAGGGAAGGGAATATGGGAAAGTGGGGCTGGAGACATAGGGAAGGGGACGTGGGGAAGGGGATGTAGGACAGAGGGCAGCAGGCATAAGAAGGGGAAGAGGACACTGCAGGCAACGTGGGACTGGAGACATAGGGCAGGGCATGTGGGGAAGGGGCACAGGGCAGCAGGCACAGGGAAGGGGGCTTGGAGAGGAGGACAAGGGGCAGAGGACATCAGGGCAGGGAACGTGGGGCCGCAGGCACGGGGAAGAGGATGTGAGAAAAGTAACACAGGGCTGGGGGAGCCGCAGGGGGGGGGCGGGCGTTGAGTTCCCCCCACAGCAGGGAAAATGGGCAGAGCAGCCTGAGGAGGTTTGTGGCCACGCAGTGGGGGTGCAAAATTGGGATCACCCAAGCGAAGATTTGGTTTTTCCCTGCATGGCTTCACACCCGTTGTGTTTGCTGGACCCGTGGACACCTTGTCACCGCGCGGCTGGGGGCTGGGGGGGCGCAGAGGGGTGTGGGAGCCCTGTGAGCAGCCCAGCAGCTGACAGCCCCCATCGCTGGCGCTGCCTTCGATCCGTGTGTTGGCTCCTGTTTGCACTTACCGGCTCTGAGTGGTTTTTAATTATTGATGCCTCTTTTAGCTTTTATCTCGTGCTCGCTGCAGCCAGGAAGGGCTTGGCGTTCCTGCATTAGTGATGAATTGGGAAGGAGGCCCTGCTCCACCGCGCTGCAAAGCATTCCTGGCTTGCAGGCTTGTGCCATTGTTTCAAGCAAAGCTGTGCTGAAAAATGAAGAGGTTGGGAGCCAGGAGGGGGGAAGCGATGGAGGCAATCCCCGCTGTTCCCACAGCGATGCAGGGGAGGAGGAAACGGCGGGGGATGGCAAAAAATAAAGTGAGGAAACCTGCCTGACCCAGCGAGGAACTGGCAGCCACTCACCTCGCCGGGGAGGAAAGATGCCATTTTGTCACCTCTCCAGCGACAGGCAGGTGGACGGGGGGGGGGGGGGAGGGAGGCAGCGGGGTCCCACCAAGTGCTGCAGGCAGGAATCGATGTCAGGTCAGGGCTGGAGGCTCTGTGGGCTGCACAAGGGCTCCCCGTCCCCCCCCAGACAAGCCGCAGCTCTGTGGAGCTGTTCCAAGGAGCCCTGTGCCAGCAGCGCTGGCTCGCGGCCTCTCTGCCCGCATGGCTTCTCCCACTCTCGTACCACATCCTCGGGAGCGGTTTGTCTGCCAGGAGAAGGTCTTCAATCATCACAGATCAGCAGCACTTTGGGGACCCCGTGTCGCTCGCCGCCCGCGTGCCTCCAACCTCTCCTGCCAGGGCAGGATGGGCTGGCAGCTCTGCGCTGGGAGTTACGAGGCAAAGCAGCCCGTCTGGACACAGCAAGGCTGCTTCCTCCGGTCTGCAGCTACGAGGGGATTTCTAACCTTTTCTTAACCCTCTTTTTTTTCAATTTGAGCCCAACTCTAGCAAGATTCCCCACGGAACGGGGAGATCAGAAACAAACCCAACGCAGGGAACCGCAACGCTGCCTGGTCTGGGGAGGGGGGGAGCCCCAGAGAAATGCCTTGAGTGCAAAGCCAGCGTGCTCCGGGAGCAGAGCACAAGATCCAGCATCTGCTGGGAGGTGCGGGGGATTTGGAGAGCCTGAGAGCTCTGTCTGTGTGCTTTGAAGCAGGTCAGCCTCCCGCGGGGAGCAAGGAAGTGCCAGCAGCCCGGCCGGGAGCGGCTCGCAGCCCGCCGGCAGCCAGGGATGCTCAGCCAGCAGCCTCGTGGTTTGTTCGACCCTTTGCCCACCGAACCGGAGCTGCTAATTAGCTCTAACAACAGGGACGTCTGTTCCTCTGAAGTCTCCGGCCTGAAAACGCCCCAGACCAATTTCTCCTAAATCCTCCTCCCCTCGCACATCCATCAGGAATAACATCCACTTACGGTGCTCCCTGCCCCCAGGCTGAGTCTGAACCGCTGACCTCGAGGTGAAAGCGCTTGAAAAGCTTCGGCCCTCCCCGCAGCCAGCAGCGCTCCCAGCGGGATTTTCAGCAGCGCTTACGGAGCACAGGGACTTTTAGGGACTTTTAGGGACTTTTAGGGACTTTTAGGGACTTTTAGGGACTTTTAGCAACCACCGTTCGGCGGCAGCCCCCCGGCCCGGAGCCACGCCGCCCTTTCACACGGGAAGCCCCCTGCCCAGCTCTGGCCGTGCCCTGGGAGCGGCCGTGGGACCTGCGGTCAGGCTGCAGCCACCCGTGCTGCTCTGTCCGGAGCTGCTGCTCAGCTCAGCCCAGCCTGCGCAGCGCTGGGGGAACGCCGGGCTTCAGCCCCGTCCTTGGGCTCGGGTACAGCGAGCGCTGCCTCGTCATCTGTGGGCTCACGGCGCTCTGGGCTCTGTGACCCCTAAAGGCCCACGGCCCCATAAGCCACCTGATGCTGCCCGCAGCCCCATCACCCACCAAAGGCTGCAGGACCTGTCGTTCACCAGGGCCCCATAACCCAACCAAGGCTCTGTGACCCCACCTGATGCCCAGGAGCTGTGACCCCCCCCCCAAGCCCTATAACCCACCTGATGCCCTGTAACCCACCCCAGGCCCACAGCCCCATAACCCACCAAGGGCTGATGGCCCCATAATCTACCAGGACCTGCAACCCAAATGAAGACCAGATCCCTGCAATCCAGCCGAGGTCCTGGGTCCCATAGCCTACCCAAGGCTCTGTAACCCCACCAAGCCCCACAACCCACCTGATGCCCTGTAACCTGCCCACAGCCCCATAATCCATCAAAGACAGCAGACCTTGTAATCTACCCAAGGCCCAGGACCCCATAACTCACCCAGAGCCCTGTAACCCCACTGAGGTCCATGGCCCCATAACCCATCAATGACTGCAGGTCCTGTAACCCACCCAAGGCCCCATAACCCAGCCAAGGCCCAGGGCCTCACAGCCCATCACAGTCAGCAGGCCCTACAACTCACCCCAAGGTCCCATAACCCACTCAAGGCCCAAGGCACTGTAAACCCCAAGGCCCCCCAACCCCCCAGCGCCCCACAACCCCCCTAGGCTGCAGACCCTGTAACCCCATCAAAACCCACAGCTCCACGCCCCATATGGGACTGCAGGCCCTGTAACCCAGCAGAGCCTTCTAACCCACCCCAAGACCACATAACCACCCCATGGCCCTGCAGCCCCCCAGCACCCCATAACCCACAGGCCCACAACCCCACTGAGCCTCAGGCTCCCATCCAGATCCCATACACCAGCTCCCCCCTCCACCCCCCCCCAAATTTTGGCTGCTCAGCCCAATCTCTGCTGCACGCCTCACAGCCCCCTTCCCCAGGGGAAGGAAATTCTCCCACTCCAGCTGGCCTGGGAGATACCAGAGGAAGATGTTATCAGGACAGGCTCGCTAACCAGAGGACGGCTCTAATTATTAAGAGCCAATTCTATTATAGCCATCACAGCCCCGAGGCAATGGGGGGCCATGCCCTCCTGAGGGCCCCCCCCCGACAGCATTTCTAAGCAAGAAAACAGGCAGCACGTCACCATCTTAACCAACCTTCTTATTTCTTTATTTGAAAGGCACAGCTTGTACGTCCTTGATACAGCATTTTCAGTTCCTCTTATTATAGGTCAAGTGATTAAACACAAAAAGCAAAACGAGATCTGTCTAAAGGACTATATACAAACACCAGATTATTATTTAGTTTTATTCTTCTTTCGTCGTCGTCGTCGTTCCATTTTTTGTATTATTATTATTATTTCTTTTTTTTTTTGTAGACACGCTAGCGCACGGAGATAAGAACAG